GGTGACAACGCAGGCGTAGATGTCACCAGAGGTTGGGGTGACCAGGAGGTAGGAGAAGCGGGTGAAAGCCAGGTCGGGGGTGGGGGTGTAGTGGGTGTCGGTGACCCCCTGGGTGACAGGGACCCCGTTGAGCTGCCAGGTGATCTTCAGGGCTGGGGGGAAGATGTTCTCCACCCTGCAGACCAGCGTGTTGGCCGAGCCCAACACCAGGGGCTGGATGGGGAAGACGTTGACCACTGGGATCCCTGAGGAGGAGGAGGAGGAAGAGGAAAGGGGGGGGGGGGGAGAACCAAGCAAGGGGGGGCTTTGGGTTGGGTGGGACCTCTGAGCCTCGTCCATGGCAGAACGGAGGGATTTGGGTTGGGTGGGACCTCTGAAGGTCACCTGCTCCATGAGGAGGGACATCAACCAGATCAGAGCCTCGTCCATGGCAGAACGGAGGGATTTGGGTTGGGTGGGACCTCTGAAGGTCACCTGCTCCACCAGCAGGGACATCTGCAGCCAACTCGGGCTGGTCAAAGACCTGGCCGTGGTGCCACAGCAGGGTCTGGGTTGGGTGGGACCCCTGGAGACCATCTACTCCATGAGCAGGAACATCTTCAACCTGATCAAAGCTCCATCCATGGCATCATGGAAGGGTTTGGGTTGGGTGGGACCTTTGGAGACCATCTGGTTCATTGAGCAGAGACATCTCCAACCAGATCTGGTTGCCCAAAGCCCAAGGCCTCACAGCAGGGTCTGGGTTGGGTGGGACCTCTGAAGATCACCTACTCCATGAACAGGGACATCTTCAACCAGATCAGAGCCCCATCCAACCTGACCTTGAGTGATGCCAGGGATGGGGCATGTTAAGCCATGGACCATCACCTTCGAGATGCCAAAACCCACCCAGTTCCTGATCCACCCACCCATCAACCCAGTTCCATTGAGAAGAGGACCCTGTGCAGGACCCCATCAAAGGGATGATGGTGGAACCTGTCATTGACAAAGCCACGGACCAGAACTGGTCCCAGTATGG